GAATGCCCCCGGCACAGCCTGTCGCTTTCCGCAACAGAAGTCACAGACGTGTCATATCCTGTTATCTCCAGGTATTGCTATGCTTCAAAATGATGGTCGTGTTCAACCTGCCCCTGGATCTTGTCATTAGGTTCGTCACAGAGAATCACATACATGACCGCGTCTCAGATGTTTAAATATTTTGATGATTATGTTTCAATATAGTGTTGGCCCTTAAACAACATGGGTTTCACATGGAATTTTTTTCAACGAATATACAGTTGGCCCTCTGTTTCCCTGGGGTTCCCTGCCTCGAATTTAACCAGTCACAGAGGAAAACAGTATTTTGGCTCCATGGCTGAGAGCCCGCGGATATGAGGGGCCGACTGTACGCACTGAGCTTTGCCATTTTTATGTAAGAGACTTGAGCGTCCACGGTAATCGAGGGGGTCCTGGAACTAATGATCCTTCGTGGATACTGAGGGGCCACTGTCGTTAAATTTGGGGGAGTAAAAAGTTGTATGCGGATTTGCAAGTGCTCAGGGGTCACTGCCCCAACCCCCACGTCGTTCAAGGGTCCACTGTAACCAGTTTCTTTTGTAACCGTGTGCATTTTATTTATGGATTCAAAATTATTATTCTGAAAAAGGGTCCCTGGACTCCATCAGACCTCCAAAAGTGTTCTTGGCACAAAAACACAGTTAAGTCCAACATGAAGTTACCCTAGTGCAAAGTCCAGCTCCACCCCTCACCACCTGGGTGGCCCAGGGCACACCCACGACCTCTCTCGGCCTCAGTTCCCTCATCTTCGAAATAGCGAGAAGCAGCCTCCGCTTCACCTGAGTGCTATGAGATGATGTTGGTCAAGGATTTGGCATAGAGCCTGGCACACAGTGGGTGCTCTACAAATATTAATTTCTTGCCTCTTATTTCTCAGCCTCCACCCCTCACCCTAGCGGGCACAAGAGATGAAGTCCTTTTTGTGTGGTACACACCAGCGAGAAGCCACACTGTATATTTTCACATATCAATATACTCAAGTCAGTGGCTTTCCATCACCCACGCAGGGCCTAACACACAGTAGGTGCACCATGTACTTGTGGAATAAATGCGTGAGCGAATGAATATGGGTTTTTGAATAAGCTCTGCATCAGATGAGATCCTTTAGGATTTCTAAAGAGTATGACTTGTTATGACAGCTCTGTGCTTGGCCCTAAAGCTGCTGCATCTTTGCGGTGTGGTGTGGTGTGGTCAGGAGGTCCCAGGTTTGGAGGCTGGAGCATCCCTCCAGCTAAGTAGGTGTCAGAGCCCCGCCCACCACCCAGATGAGCAGGTGCCTTATGCTCTGAGTACCAGGTCCTCCTGGGTTAAGTGAGGCTCACAACACCTGCCTCTTAGAGGTTTGGGGAGCATTACATGTGGTAATATCTGTCATGTTTCTCGCCTTCAGCCTGGCGATGAGAAGACTCTGAGGCATATTTGCTTAACAAGTAAATAAGTGAACATATGGCTGAACAATGGTCATCCCTGACTCCCTCTGGACTGTTCTCCCTCGCCCAGCTACAGTAATAATCTGCCCAGGGTAGATTTAGAGAAACTCCCAAACCTAGACAGCTCCATTTTCCTTGGCCCGCAGTCACAATTTTTGGAACTGCCTTCCTCATCCATACGACACGGATGACTAAGAGGACAGGGAATATATCAGGGTCCGTGGGCTGAAAATACTGGACGAGGCAGGAAATCGAACACATACAGAAAGCTTAGCTACCGAGGAGATGAGTAAAATGGGGGCTTTAGGCCAGTCACTTCCCAGGCCCCCTTCCTCATGGCCCCTGCCTACATGCCTTGAGGGTCTGTCATTCCATCCACGCCGAGCCCCTCGCCCGTCCCCAAGTCTCCTCCTGCGTGCGCAGGTCCTTCATCTCGCCACGCCCTGCCCCGCCTTCGCAGCTGACCTCATTCCCATCCGCCTTTTAAAACTGCCTGAACGTCCCACCTCGGAAATTACATGCTTCCCTCCGCTTCAAAGATACTTGTGGTTTTCTCTGTCACAGTGTTTAAGACGCCGTATAGAGGCCGTGTGGTCCCACGTCTGCCCTCCTCACTGGGTTGTACGGTCCCGGTAAAGCACATGCTATGCCTGGCTGTCTTTGCACCCAGCACGCCCCCCTGCTCGGCACAAGGCAGGGGCAAAAATGATGCGTTTCAGGGGCAACATCGGCCTGGGTGGGAACATCCAGAGAAAGATGTGCCTTATCACAGAATCCATTCACGCTGGCCCCCAGCCTCCTCTCATGCAGCGATGACAACCAGCCACTCAGCCCTCGTCACGTGGGGTTGTTTAAGGGTTAAATGAGGAAATGCATATTGAGAGCTGAGCCACTGTCTGGGATTCTAGAAGCCTTAGATAAATGCTGGCTGCCATCATTACCTTGGTAAATAATCCTCTTCCCACAGAAGCAGTCGAAGGCTAATGATGTGTGAAAAGGATGGATAAAATTTCCTGGGCCACAAAGCTGGTTTTTTTTGCCTTTGTTTCATTTTTTATTTTTTTTTTGTAAATGAACTGAAATGAGTTCTTGGGATTTGTATATTATTTTACAGTGCTTCGTTTTTATTTTTAAATTTTTTTCAATTACAGTTGACATTCAATGTTATTTTAGAATACTTCTTAACACTAGTCTCAAACACTCCCCATTGTCACTGAAGTTGACCTCGGCAGGTGATAAGTAAATGAGGAGCTTAATTCTAGATAAACTAAGCAAGACAGAAATAATGGCAGCCACTCTGTCTGACTGGAAATCTCAGCATTAACTGTTGACTGTCAGAAAGGTAATGTGATGCCTCTCTGGGTTCTATCTGTGCTGGATTTAGGATTTGCTTGTCTGGCATTTAAATGGTTCATTTCAACTGCCAACAATCTGAATGGCTTTGGCTATGTTCACTGAACATCCCATTGGTTACAGAGATGGATTCTGCCAGCATCGGGAATCCAGATGTGCTGGGCTCAAGTCAGAAACCTCAGCTCTGAATTACTCACAGCCATTGCACCTAAGAGGCTTATGGAATTCTTCCTCCAGGAACGCGGGTGATCAGTTTACTTCTTAATTGGGTTGCCTGAAATCCAAGGCCCCAAAGGATAATCAAAGGCAAGGCAAAGCGCACCCCTGAAACTTAAAACTCATCTCTACCCTTCTCCAAATGGATCTGTAGTGTGTAATTCGGGGCTGTGCTCAGAGGGTGCTGCAGGTTTAAACAGAAAGACACCGCAGCAGACGTCGGATTTCCGTGGAAAGCTGAGGTCCTTAAATGTTTAAAAGTGCGGACAATTTTCAAATACGAATTGGAAAAACTGGAACAGAAAAGTAAAATCAAGTTCGCTCTGTCCTGGGCCGCTGCAGACCTTGCCCTGGGAACTCCAGCCACGTTAAACTCCGTGCAAGTCCCTGACTGTCACACTCCCCAGCCTTTGCCCATGCTGTGACCTGCACCTGGGGAAATGTCGTCCCTCTGTTATCTAAACGACTGTGACCTACTGTGTGAAACTTGGTCCAAGATCAGCCCCAAGGCTCACTTCCACTCTTGGTCCAATGGGATAACCCTCCACCGTGTTTTGTTCAGGCTTTTGTCAACCATGGCGCTTGGCCACCACCGTGAAATCTTTGACTTAATAGGGACTCTCTCGCTAAAGCAGTGTTTTCAACCAGGGACCATTTCCCCCCTATTTCCAGTGGACATTTGGTAATGTCTGGAGTCACAGTTGATTGACATCACTTGGGGATGCTGATGGCATCCGGTGGAGAGAGGCTGGGAATGCTGCCAAACATCTACAATGCACACGGGTGGCTCCCCACAACAAAGAATTATCCTACCCAAAACGACAATAGAGCTGACAATGAGAAACTATAGGGTAAGCTCTTGGTTTGGAAACTGTGCTTTGTTCCAGCATTGTTGGTTGGTCTGAGACATTTCACTGTATGCCTCTACAGCATTTTGATTAATGAACGATGTAAACGTTTTTTTTCCCCCCAAAAATTAAAATTAAAAACTAAATTAAAAAAAATCCCATGTAGCCCCCCTGCATTGGTAATTCCCGGTGGTTATGCCGTCCTGCTGGATTCTGAATCTCCCTCTACACTCCCATGTCTCGTCCTTATACACTCCCTCCGGGACTGAGTCTTTTCCTGCCCCAATCTAGAATTTTCTTACTCCCAATTCAGTTAAATTCTCTTTTGTCCCTACTCTCGAATGCAGCTCTAGGCCCACTTTTGCACACTGAAAACTTATAAAAGTGCTCAGATGAACAAAGTGCCGAGAGAGACCTAGGAGCAGTCATTTTAAATGCAGCTCCTGCCCCATCTTCCCGCCCGGGTACAGAATGAGATGGAGGTGGGGGAGGGGTGTCGACGCGGCTGTGACGTCACACAGAAGGTGGGAGAAAGAAAACCCAATAGGGGAGATGAAAACCCAGCAGGTGGATGCATGAGCACTGTTTTCAGACCGACGGAACCAAGTCAGTCTCGTGTGCTAAGAAATGAAGCCCTCGTGGGTAGCGGGGAGGCTGCATGAAGTGGAGGGGGGACCACCCTCTTCCACATTCTTGCCAAGTCATTAACACGGAATTCCCACACTCTTAAAAGAACTCAGAAGGAACCTCTAGCCCTCCACTGGTTTCTCCTCATGGGAGGTGTGGGTTATGGTGTGTGTCATAGCTGTTGGCCCATTTTCTTGACAGGGTGGCCTTCCATATTAAAGGTCAATTATGCATTCGAGACCACACGTGGTCTCTCCCTGGCTCGCAGTGGCCCATGGGGTCAGACAGGTCATGACCCTGTGTGGCTGGCTGGCAAAACGTGTGCTCTGTCCAAGTGCTGGTCCCAAGACCACCTTAGTGGGAAGTGTCATGAAGCTCACCATTGCCTCCAGAGACAATCCCTCTTTACCCACCAAATGCAGCCTATATGTTGATCCTTCTTTGAAACTCCTACATCCCTTTCTCAATTGGCTCATAATTCAGAGAGAATGGTGCTATAAATAGGCACTCCTCCAACTCCAAAAGGAAAATCGAAACTAAGCCCTGAGGACATGTCGGGGATCACTCTGAGGTTAACGAAATCAGTCGGAATCTTCTCTCTGCATCTCAGTTACTCTGAGGCCTACGCCAGCGTTGCAGGGTTTGGACGGCAGGAGAAAGTACTAACAGCGATGGGATTGGTCCAGGGCTCTTATGTTTGCTCTGGGTAACAATTTTCTCATCAGTAAAATTAGGGGATTGGCTTAGTTGAGCTTTCGACTCCCGCACGCCTTTAATAGCCATTGATTCTAGGGCACCAAGGAGACTTATTGTCAACATCATCCATCACCCCGTGAGATGACATTCATGTGGCTGATGTCACAGGGAGAAGGCACGGTGGGAATTATGGTGTCTGATCGAATGTTCTTTCCCGCTATAGTGTATCCTGGCTCTTTGCCTTTCCCTGCCTCCACCCCCATCTCCCCCCGCCCCCATCTTATGGCAGGGACCCCAGCTACGTGAGCCAGGAATGGCAGAAGAAAACAAAACAACTGGTTAGGTGACTGCCCTCAACAACCCTGAGGATCAGCATAGCGGTGGGGACCATGAACTATGGAGCCAGAAGCCGCTGGATCCAAGTCCTGTCTTGCACTTTCTTAGCTGTGTGACCTTGTGCCAGTTACCTGCCTGTTTGAATCTCAGTTTTCTCATCTTTCAAATGGGGATTAAATATATATAGTTTTGATCTCATGGGGTGGTTATGAGGGCGAGATGTGCTTCCAACTAAACCTGGCAAACATAAGCATTCTTTATAAATTACTATTATTATACCTGAAATCATTCCAAAGAGTGATCGTCTACTAAATTTGACAGCCCTGGAATGGGAAGAACATAATACAAGCTATGAAGTAAAGAAGTGGCCTGGAACAAATTTCTTCCCTCTCTGAAGACGAATGCAGAAGAGTCCCAAAGGCTGCTGTTCAGACCGAATTGTTTGAAAATGCAAAGCTAACGCAAGCATTAGGGCTCAAGCAAGCAGTTATTGTCAACAGTCAACTGTTTTGAAAATTCAGAAAATGCTAGCTTCTCTCAAATAAGTGTCCTAATTATCAGCACTGCTGCATGTCTAGTGAGTAATTATAACGGATGTTCAAAATGAGGTCCCTAACATAAAATATTAGTCTTTTCTGCTATAATCTATAGAACAAATAAAGCTCAGTATGGCTTATTGCTAATGTTCTATAATGCATTATTATTTTCAGGGATTTGAAAATTTATAGGTAGAATTTATGCTTGTCACGGGCAACCATGATTTTTGCCCGTTCTATGTGTCATGCCTTATTCTTCAGGAAAAAGGACCCTATTCTACTGGGGAACTGATTTCTCCAACTTCAACCAAGTGACTCTAATGGGGGCTGCCAATCATAGCATCTTGAACCCACACCCACTCACTCTAACAGGTGGATGCATGAGCCAGAACTGGGCTGGTAGGAGCCTCTTACTCTCTGAGCCATAAGGATTATCCCAATTGGGCCAATCTAAGTGCTTCTCTGGGATTTCTGAAACTGGAGCTGGGTGAAGGACAGGTGGACAGAGACAGAAAAAATATATGATCTTGGGGTTGCCTGCATCCTCGCTCCATCCACATGGAGACAGTCAACCGAGAGCGCGAGACCAAAAAAAGAAGCAGAGACGAGCGAAGAGGAGAGAAACCCCAGCCCCATCCCTTGTTTCCCAGGGGTTCCCGCCCACTCCGATGGGTGACTGCTGAGACATTACATTTTCCTCCTAGTCTAAGGTAGTTTAAGTTCGGTTTATGACACTTGTAGAATAGTCTGTTCATCCATCCATCCATCCAACCATCCAACTATCCATCCACTCATCCACCCACCCACCCATCCACCCATCCACCCATCTCCACCCACCCGTCCACCCGTCCACCCGTCCACTCGTCCATCCATCCATCCATCCATCCAACCACTCATCCATCCATCCATCCATCCACCATCCATCCATCCATCCATCCATCCATCCATCTAACACGTGTTTTTTGAAGTCTACCAGGAGCCACACACTGTGGTGCCTACACGGGACACTTGGCCTCCTCTGTAGGACGAGGATGACTTACTCACACCAGTGCTACGACACGAACCATCCACCCGTCCACCCGTCCACCCGTCCACCCGTCCACCCGTCCGTCCGTCCGTCCGTCCGTCCGTCCATCCATCCATCCAACCATCCATCCACTCACTTTTTCAGTAAGCCTCAGAATGCCTCTATCTGGGCCCTAATTAAACCGGAAATGCCTAGTCTGGTGCACATCTATATTTTACACGTATGTCCCAATTTAGCTGAACTCCTTTCACGTCTGTACAGAAAAGGCTCTAAAGGCAGATTTAGTAACTCACTCGCAGTATCAACACCCTGCTGGTCATGAGAGGAGGAGGGGAAAGAGCACCCCATTGGGAGTCCTGAGACCTGGATCTTGTAACCCCCGGAGCTCCTAGGCTCTGTAACTTGGGGTGAGCCTGCACTCTTGTGGGGGGCTTGGTTTCTGTAAAAGTACCTGGAAGGGGAACACTGAGGTGGCTTCCCGTTCTCCCTCTGTGAGCCGTGAGCTGCTCAGGTTTTCTAGCAAACGTCCCCTGACACTGTCTTTGTCATTTGTCCAGCCCTTCTCTAAAGTCTCCTCACACACCCACTGCAGTCCAAGCTGGGTCCAGGAAAGAAACACTCGGTCCACCTGAAAACACTCACAGAGGAAGCAGACGGGCCGAATGGGGTTTCTACACGGGAGCTAACTAGAGCTGTCTGTAATTGTTTCTTCGAGGTGGGATTACGTAGGGGAAGAGGCATCAAGGACACCATTCAGGAAGACTTGGCCGGCTTCCCAAAGACCGCTGTCCTCAAGCGGTTCCCCTACTAGGTGGTCCAGGGTCCTGCCACCCCCTGGGCCCCAATTCCATCAGCTCTGGAATAATAGCAGTTGAGTTTAAGGTCTAGGAGACTGACTGCAAGGCCTCCCTTGTACTTTGTCCACAATAATAGATTAAATATCTATTTACTATATGTTACATACCGTTATATTTCTAAATGTACAAATAGTTTAAACTGAGATTTGCGAGAGACGGTCTTTCTTTATGATCTCGAGCGGGGTCCACAGTGTCCCTCATATTGTGGCATCTTCTCGAGAGGAAAAGGAGCCCGACCTACCTCTCCAGCAGCCGGCAGCAAGTGCCGTTTACTGGGGAAGCCCCCGCAGTTGTGGGGATCGCGGGGTGGCTACGAGGCTAGATGTGCTTAGAACTAGACTTGATTCACTTTTTGAAGAACCACCGGTGAGCCCAAGAAGCAACTGAAGCGATATACAGTGGAACTAACACGGTCCTAATATTCAGATCTGGGTTTGAATTTCGGTCCTGCTACTCAGTAGCTGTGTGACTCAGGGGGACTGACTCAACCTCTCTGGGCCCAGATCACCTCAATCCACAAAACAGGATATGAGCGCCTATGTTACACTGCGGTCGTGAGGACCAAATGAGATAACACACGCAGGACCCCAGGCACGGAGCCCGGCCCTGAGGAGAAGGTCAATAACCGGCTGCTGCTATGGCCATAGTTCAGGGAGTCCTCAAGTAAATTACCATGATGATGGCCGAGGGATATGGGGCCCCCGAGCTCTGTCTGTGAGCAGCATAGCTGCCCAGGGGCCCTACACCGGGTCGAGCTGGACCCTCCATCCCAAGATAGTGGCTAAAGGAAGGGAATTCATAATCAGAAACGTACCTGGCTGCTGCCTCCAGCTGTTCTTGGCCACAGTTTAGGGAGTCCTCAAGTAAATTACCATGATGATGGCCGAGGGATATGGGGCCCCCGAGCTCTGTCTGTGAGCAGCATAGCTGCCCAGGGGCCCTATACCGGGTCGAGCTGGACCCTCCATCCCAAGATAGTGGCTAAAGGAAGGGAATTCATAATCAGAAACGTACCTGGCTGCTGCCTCCAGCTGTTCTTTCCTATAAGGAGACAAAGGAGAAGAAAAATGAAACATAAATTATATGGAATGACTTCTCCTGCCCCCCAAAACGTGCCCCCAAACTCCTCTTTGATGAAGACCAAGGAGCACAGTGGAGCTCTGGGACACGGTGCTGAGTGTGGGAGGGGGGACAACCACTGAACGAGACCCGTTTCCCCAGCCAGACCCCAGCCCAATACGGCCAAGGTTTGACTCTGAGCTTTCAAGGTTCTCAGCCATTCAATTCACTTACTCGTCCAGAAAATGGTTGCTGAGCAACCGCTGTGCCCCAGGCCTTGTGCTGGGCTCAGGGGGTTTGCTTAGCACGAGGGACAGGCCAGGGAAAAAGGGATTTCATCATTTAGCAGCCACGTACCCTGTCACTCTGTCCCCACCATCATCATCATGGTCAACATCATCATCACCATGGCAAATATTACTGAGTGATAATAAATAGGCAGATACTATTTGAAGTCCTTCGTAAGGATCAACTCATTTAATCCTCATAACGACCCTATGAAGTAAGTAGGATTATCATCCCCTCATCATTTCCCTGATGAGGAAACTGAGGTTAAGGAAATTGCTCAAGTTCTCACAGCGAGGAAGCAGCAGCATCAGGATGCATCGCCAGGCGACCTGGCTCGTGAGCCCATGCTCTTGGTCACGAGGCTGCGTGTGCTGTGTGTATCACAGTCGTGATCCTAAGCCTTCACTCAGGCCCTGCCTAGACATTTCTTCCTCTTTTCTGGAACAGTCATCCTTTAAGTGCCAGCTGGAGGGGCCCGTCCTCGTCCAATCTGTATGACTCCCCGGGGTCCAGACTGAGTTAATCTCTTCCCGTGTGGGACCGTACTCAGATCGCATTGTCTTAAATCGCAGGGCAGTCGATGTAGTAGTGCTCGGGGGCAGAGCCTCTGTTTTTCTTCAGCTCTGAAATCTGAGCACCCCAGGCCCTGGCACACGGTAAGTGCGCAGTAAATACTGAATTAATAACTGGCCTGTAATTGGGAGCCGGGGGCGGGAGAAGTGGGGAGAGACTAAGAGGCATCGTGGTAGAGGAGGAGAGGGACCAGCTGGAGAGGTAAGAATTTCTAGTTTATGGGTCACCTAAGCGTTTAGTTCCAGTGTGGCCTTGGGCGAGTCACACATCCTCTGGGCCCATTTCCCTTCCTAAAGGACAGGGACAGGAAACACTCTGATAGTCTAGAATTCTCTGGGTCTCTGACTCCGGGAGAAGTAGGGAAGGCGGTTAGAGAGAATGAAAGGTGAGGGAGTGGGCCGAGGGCAGGATCGGGGCGGAAGGCGCGGGGGGCGCCACGCGGAGGAATCAGAGGCACCACGCCCCACCCTCTCTCCACGACAATGACCCGGTGCCTTCTCTACCGTCACGCTGCCTCACCTCCCCACCTCCCCGCCAGCTGATGACCCTGACTCACCTCTCGCTGAGATCTGCCCCGTGGTCTCACCGCCAAATCCACCACCTCTTACACTTGGCCCCGCCCATGGGCTTCCCCTCTGTGCTGATGGAGGAGGCGTCCACACTCCTGAGGGTGGCCAATCTTCCCCCGTGCTTCAGAGCCCGTGCCCTCTGCCCTCCTCTGTCCTCTGGTCCTTCCCCTCCCCCCTGCATCCCCACTTCTCCCT